GACCAACTTGGGCCTATAAGACCAAAATGATCACTCGTACACTAAACATAGGCCGATAAGGCCATACAATCTTTTACGTGCATGGCATATGTATACAAACCTCTAAGAGTAGATAAATACCATAAAGGTCGGGACATGGCCCCGCCATATTAAACATTACACGTCTGAATCATACTGACCAAATAAGCAACTCCGGAGCAAATGGAGCGCACCAACATTTTCCGCAGAGCTGATAGCCTATCTGGGTAACTCTCAACCTGTCTATCGGGACCTGCGGGCAAAATCATCAACGTATACCAGCTGATCAGGTGGTGGTGCGTATATAACGCCGTAACCCTTTCCCATATACCATATACATATGATATACGCATATATAACGCCTTTTGGTCATGGGTCAATGTACATGTATAAATGCATGAAATGCATAAGAAATACGTTAATAAGATTTCTCGAATATCATAAAACCAATATGCCTTTCGGACAAACTTTATCAAAAACGTATTTTTTTAAGACCCATGAATAGAGGATATAATAATAATTCACATGGGGAATGAAGAATATAGACACCCCCAGTATTTCTATGAATAGAGTCATTTATGAAAGTTATGTATTTTGCTCGTTTCGTTTGTATCATTTGGATCATGCCAAAAGAAAAGAAGGGATAGCCTTAACAAACCAGTATGATCTCTTCCTTATTACTCAACCAAGCTCAACACAACTTCTTTTATCTACAACAAGTGAAATGATATTGCCGTTAACATATAATGTCATACCATCGTATTTGGCTATTCGTATGGCTCAAGAAAAATCGGACAGCAACTACCCTATTTTTAATACATCCCAAAGACCACTAAGGGTCATCAACAGCCCAACAACAACTATAACCAATAATAACAACAATAATAATATAATCCAATATGAGTTTCTCCGATTATCATAACAATCAAATTGAGCGGCAAGCTCGTGTTTACTCACTACAAGATATAAATTGAATCCAAATCTTATTCCATAAATTAGTTTATAACCTTCAGAACATCATACTTATATGTACTATATTATTTCTAGTTCAAAACATCCACAAAATGCCTTCCAAAACAGCCCCATACGTCTAGTACCTTAATTTTTATTGTCAATCATTTGTTTTTTCATCTTTTCTTCTTTAATAAACTTAATTAACACCTAGAAAAGCTTAACAACAGCAGACACAACATTATCAAATTATTTCTTATAATTTCCAGCCACCACAAACCATCTATTTAGCCACAAAATAGTCCAACCAAAGACAACTACATCCCATGTTCTTTCAAGTACTATCTTATGGTTTCTCACTCAAACAACACAACCAACACAAGATTAACCATAGGCACAATCAAGAAGATGTTATACATACCTTGGACAGCATATACAACTCGAAACCCTATCTCAACGTAGCTCACAATAGCCCTCAATCACACCATAACATCATAAAAGCATTCTCTTGTAGTCCTTAACACCTTTGATGATGATTTGAGTTGATTTCCCTTGAGTTTGGTTCTTGAGAACTTGGGATATGTTGAAGGCCTAAAACACCTTAAAAAAATGACCCGCAATGAGTCTAAAACACCTTTAAAAAAATGTATGGTCGGAGGTCGTCTCAAGTGGGTCCCAACCAAACTGCTTGCGTAGTCTCACAAAAATGTAGATATCTCTCTACTTCGACGTCATATCAACGAACGGTTTAATGCGTTGGAAACTAGATGCGTAGAACTTCAATTTGGTATATAATATGTCCCAAAAGACCTCATATAGCACACGAAATTTATTTCTCATAAATCTTTATTACAAGGCAAATCCTTAGTCGGTTTTTCCGCAACTTAAATCCGATTTTTTCCCAAACTTTATATATTATATCCAAACGTCATATATAGTCATACCATGACTTTAAACTAATTTAAATCATGATTAACAAGTCTCATATTCATCACGGCACCTTGGGACGCACAAGGTGTAATAACTGTATAGAGCCAATCCAGCCCAGGGAAGATCCATCCCTCAATATAAATAATTAGTCAAGATTCATGCCCAAATATAATATCAAATGCGCTCACTGTGGGTGTGCAGACTCCGAAGGGGCTCCTTCAGCCCAAGCGCTATAATAAGCCAAATTCAGCCATAAATCAATAAATCATGCTACGGCGTGCAGGGCGATCCCATAAATATATAGCCATAAGGCTCGTTGCGGTGTGCAACCCGATCCATATGTGTGTGTGTGTGTATGTGTGTGTATATATATATATATATATATATATATATATATATATATATCACCGCACGACACTCATGCCCAACTCAATCACCAATCTCTTCAGTCTCACGGGCTCACAATGCTCATACTAAGCAGCCTTAATCAAAGATGCAAGATGTGACAATATACAAAGAACAACAAAGAACGACCACTATGGGTCCCAATAGTACCAGCATATAGCCTAAACATGATTTCTAGCATAAATTATAGCTCAAGTGCTCTAACACATAGAGTACATAAAAAATGTTCAGTTAAGATAGCTACATAGTTCCACGAAATCGACTAAATCAAAACTCACACGGTGCACGCCCACACACCCGTTACCTAGCATGCGCGTCACCTCAATATCAACCACATAACACATAATTCGGAGTTTCATACCTTCAACATCAAGTTTAGAAGTGTTACTTACCTTGAATAAGCCAAATCCAATACTTAGTAAGCCAGACGATACTCCAAAATGCCATCATGCGCATACCAACTCTGAACGGCTCGAAACTAGCCAAAAGCAACTCAAATACATCAAATAATGCCAAAGGAAACAAACCCAATCGATAAAGGTTGAATTTTTAATCAAAAGACAAAAATCTACCCAATAGTCAAACCCGGGCCCGCACCGACGCATTCAATTACTAGTCAAACGATACTAGTTTCACCCAAATTTGACTCTGAATCGATGTTCAAAATTCAAAAGCTCACTCTATGAAACTTTAGGCAAAATTCCCCAATTTCTCTCTTGAAATCCTCAATCAAATGCCAAAAACGAAGATAGATTCATGAAATACAATAAAACTTGAGTGGAGAATACTTACCCCAATCCATATGGTGAAAATTGCTTCAAAAATCGTCTCAATCCGAGCTCCATAGCTCCAAATATGCAAAAATATTTGAAACCTTTGAAATAGAGTAGTTTATACACTGTTCCAGGGGTACCCTTCGCGATCTCGGTCACAAACTTTGCGATCGCGATTACAAAATTTTGCAGGACAATTTTTACCCTATGCGATCGCGGTCATTTCCCCGTAATCGCGATGAACAAACTTCCATTTAACCCTTCCCAACTTTTCTCAGATAGCCTATAGTGTATTAGCCATAACTTTTTATACAAAATTCTAAATAACAAACAGTTAGATTTTCTGAAAACTAGACACAATGATCTACAACTTTCTTTTTTTGGATCATCTCCAAATTCCTTAGAGATTGCAAGTTATAAGCTTCAAAAGTCGGGTCAGTGTAGCAGAGAGTTTTCTTCTATGCGATCGCGTGAAGGCTTCCGCGATCGCGATTAACAGCTACATGTTTCCTATTTTTCTCTTCGCTATCACGGCCAAATCCATGCTATCACAATGTACATCCCTGTAGCCAAAAACCAGCAACTAAAAATGGCCTAGAAATAGCCCGAAACCACCCCGAAACTCACCCGAGTCCCACAAAACTCCATCCGAACATACCAATAATTCCCATAACATAACACAGACCTACTCGAAGCCTCAAATCACGTGTAAAAATATCAAAATCACGAATTGCACCTCCTTTCAAACTTGAATGAACTTTGAACTTCCGACTTCCAAAATGCGCGCTGAAACACATCAAATCAACACGGAATGAACCCAAATTTTGCACACAAGTCTCAAATCACATAACGAAGCTATTTCAATTACCGGAACCACAATCCAAATCCGATATCCTCAAAGTTCACCCCCAGTCAAACTTATGAACTTTCTAAACCTTCAAATTACTAACTTTCGCCGAATTATGCCGAAACTTTCTAGAGACATCCAAATGCTAATCCGGGCATATGCCCAAGTCTAAAATTACCATCCGAACCTAACAGAACCATCAAAACTCCGATCCGAAGTCAAATACTCAAAAGTCAAACTTGGTCAACTCTTCCAACTTAAAGCGTCCTAGTTAAGAATCATTCTTCCAAACTAATTTTGAATCACCCAAAACCTGAAAGCGATGATACACACAAGTCATACTACATCATACGAAGCTACTCATGCCCTCGAACCACCAAGCAAAGTGCAAATGCTCAAAATGACCGGTCGGGTCGTTACACCATCATTGTTGGATAGCCTAAATCAACTAAATAATATTTACCTACACCATATAAAAAAGAGTTAATTAAGATGAATAAAAATAAAATATACATGTTAATATAACACAAGGCATAGTATTAGTGTTGCTTACGTGACGAAGAATGAGAAAAGTCAAGGTTTTGCCTTCTAAGTACATGATCAAATATTGTAGCATCATGTAGAGTACCTTCCTAACCAGCCCATACAAATGTGAAGCACGTGTCTCTATCACATACATCCATTATGTTTTGTGAAGTGAAGCCTTTTCTACCGGTGTATTTGATTTGATTTTAAGGGATAATTTGTAAAATATAAATTTATAGCGAGGATAATTTTGTCTTGAATAAATTAATTTTTTGCTTCTGCTTTTTGGAAGAAGCTAGAATTTTCTGTCTCTTTCCAAAAATAGAAAAACTGCTTTTGTTGTTTTCCAAAAGTACTTTTTTATTTTGACTAAATACCTTAAATTTTTCAAAAAGTACTTTTTTGACAAAAAAAAAAGGTACTTTTGACCAAAAAAAAAAAAAAAAAAAAAAAAAAAAAAAAAAAAAAAAAAAAAAAAAAAAAAAAAAAAAAAAAAAGTACTTCTGGCCTCCTTTGGCCAAACGCACTCTTAGTCACAGAGTTGAGTGGGCTCTAAAGATAAAGGGCATGGAATATGAATATATAGAAGAAGATCGAGATAACAAGAGCTCTCTACCTCTTCAATCCAATCCTGTTCATAAAAACGTCCCTGTTCTCATTCACAATGGAAAACCCATTGTTGAGTCTATGGTCGAGCTTTAGCTCGTTTGTGGGCTAAGTTCCTTGAAGATAAGGTAAATACCTATCTGCATAATTTAGTAAACGTTTATTTGAGACTAAAGTTGTTTTGAATATTGTTTTATTCCATATATGATGGTTTAGTCATGTCATGTGCCAATGTTCATATCTACATATCCATAAGTGTGAAACCATTATAGTAGATGTGTTAAAAGGGGCAAGACAGAATTAAAATCGAGTATATCACTCACAATTGGGAACTCAGGCCCCAACTCAGTCACCAACCTCTCCAGTCTCTCGAACTCTCAATGTCATTAAAAATCAGCCCAAAATAATGATGTGATGTATCAATGGTAACAGAGACTGAGATATGATATGCATACGAATGCGTATGACTGAGTATGTAAACGCAATGTAAGCAAATAACTCAACAACGGAAATGACCTCAGTGGGTCTCAACAGAATATGCATGTAGCCTAGACATGGTTTATAACATGGATCACAACTCAATAGCTCAAGTACTTAGAAATTCCATGGTTACAAGTAAGGTCAGGTAATTACACAGTACCACAACAATAGCGGAGTCACAATTCACACGGTGCACGCCCACACGTCCGTTACCTAGCATGTGTGTCACCTCAACACCAAACACATAACACGTAATTTAGGGTTTTATACCCTCAACACCAAGTTTAGAAGTGTTACTTATCTCGAACGAGATAAATGTCGAATCTTTAATCAAAAGCCTAAAATCGACCCAAATGCTCAACTCAGGCCAGCGCCTCAGAACTTGATCAAACTTACAAAATCCAACAACTCATTCAATTACGAGTCCAACCACACTAGTTTCACTCAAATCCGACTTCGAATCGATGTTCAAAAACCCATGATTTTGCTCTATGAAACTTTAGTCAAAAACCCCCAATTTCTCTTTAAAATCCATAACCCAATTATCAAAAATGAAGATAAAATCACGAAATGTAATCACAAGTGAGTCAAGAACGCTTACCCTAAGTCACATGGTGAAAATTGCTTCAAATATCGTCTCAATCCGAGCCCCCATACTCAAAATGTGATAAAAGAACCAAAACCTCGAAATATATAGAATCTGCCCAGCAAATTTGCATTTGTGAACCAGTTTTCGCTTCCGCGGACTCGCACATGCGGCCCAGCCTCCGCTTTCTGTTTTTGTGTTCATCTTTTAGTGTAGTGTGTTGCATATTTTTCTGCTTTTGCTCCTGTTCTGTTTTTTTTTTGTTCTTCTTTTCTGTTTAAATGTTATTAAGTTGTACTTTTGTTTGTTGATTACAGGCTATTAAACATGGTTACGATTGACTTGATCTTTTACTATGGTGGTAACTGGATGAGGGAGCCACAACTTGTATATTCAAGAAAGCTTACTCACACTTGGAAAGGTTATGATGTTGATCTCTTATCTTTTATAGATATGGTTAATGAATACATGAACAAGTTAGGGTATGTTGGAGTTAAACAATTGATAGTGATTGGCCCTTCTGTGAAATATTATGAAATATTAGGAGATGAGGGTAATAGGACATTATTACTACTTGTGAATGACCAGTTTAATGTTATTAACCTGTTTTCTGTAGAGGACAATGAATTATCTGTTGATGTTCAAAATATAGTGCAACACACTGAGTCATACTTAGTAGTAGATGAAGCAGCTAGTGATTGCAACTCAAATGGTAGTAATTCTAACAGTGAAGATGACACAGATGATAGTGACTGTAATAGTGAAGATGCTTCAGGTTATGATTCTGATAGGTTGGAGGCATTAGCAAAAGAAAGAAAGAGGGTAATTGCTGATAGGTTGGTTGATTACAAGGACATAGACATGTCCATGACATTCAAAGATATACCTGAAGCTAGGAAATTCATGAACTTGTATGCCCTTGCCAATGGTTATGATTAAACACTAATTAAAAGTGACACAATAAGGGTCAGATATGTGTGCGAGGATGATGAATTCCCTTTTTTGTCTGCCTAATTTCCAAAGATAAGAGGAATATAGGTGTTAAGGTCAAGACACTAGAAGCTAAACATGAGTGTAATCATGCTTTTGATAACCAGAGGGTTGATGCTACCACCATTGCACATTATTTCAAGAGGAAGTTGCAGGAATCCCCAAAATATAAGATTAAAGAGATGAAAGCAGATATAAAAACAACTTTTAACATCAATGTTTCATTTTCAAAGTGCAAGAGATCCAAAAAATGATATTGGAGAATCTGGAAGGTAGCTTTATACTGATGAATATAACAAACTTGATGCCTATGCCAATGCCTGGAGGCCGAGTAATGTAGGAAGTGATATCATTATTAATATTTCAAAAGATGCCGTTGCTGAAGGAAGATTTTTGAGGATGTATATTTGCTTTGACGCAATGAAGAAGGGGTTTAAGGGAGGGTTAAGACCTTTCATTGGCTTGGATGGGACCTTTTTAAAAGGAAAAGCCAAAGGTCAACTCTTAGTAGCTGTAGCTCAAGATGCTATGAACCACTTTTATCCACTTGCTTGGGCTGTTGTAGACAAGGAAACAAAAGTCACCTTGAATTGGTTCTTGAGTTTGCTTCAGAAGTCTTTAGACCTCAACAATAGAGGGAGTCAAATTTATATCAGACATGCAAAAGGTAAAAAAAATTATTACTTTACTTGTTTTCTGCCACTTTTTAAATGTGTTGACTGACTTCTTTTTTCTCTGTTTGGCTTTCTCATGTAGGGTCTACTTGATGCTGTCCAATCTATCTTATCTGAGGCCCACCATAGATATTGCGTGAGACACATAGTATCCAATTGGAGCAAAAAAGGACATGGGTCTGGAGAAATGACAAAGCTGGTTTGGTGGTGTGCATGGAGCAGTTATCATGAGGAATTAAATGATCATTTGAAGACATTGGGAGAGATGTCTGAGAAAGGGGTGAAGGATTTACTGCACTATCCAGTCAAATGTTGGTGCATGGCTTACTTTGATACAGTGTGCAAGAAAGCAAGAACCAGAAGGTAGAAAATAACCTAACTGAGTCCTTCAACTCTTGGATCTTGGATGCTAGACACCAGCCAATAATTGGGATGCTTGAGGAAATACGAATAAAGGTGATGAATATGTTGAGTAAAAATGAATCTGATGTAATGACATGGCCTACTCAATGGAGTCCACAAGCAATGAAGTTATACAATGAATACTTGCGGATTACTCACAAGTGTACAGTTGGTTTCAATGGTAAGTATGGGTATGATGTGAGTGAAGGGAGTAACAAGTTCATAGTCAGCTTGGAAACACAAAAATGCACTTGTAGGACATGAGACCTTACTGGAATCCCATGTCCTCATCCCCATCAGAGCAATATTATACTAGGGCAACCCATTGGATGGAATTCACTGGTGGTACAATAGGAAGCTTATCTCCAAACTTATAGACACAAGTTACAACCAGTTCCATGGCAAAAGTTCTGGAAAATTGACCCATCACAGGCAATGGATCCACCCTTATTAGTGAAGTTGGCTGGCAGACCTAAATTAAAGAGAATTAGAGATAAAAATGAGGCAGTAAAGAGCGGCAAGGAGAATGGTCTACTCCTAGGAAAGTCAGGGTTATGTCATGTTCAACCTGTGGAGAACCTGGCGACAATGCTAGGGGTTGTAATAGTTAGTAGCCATTTTATTTATTAATTGTTATATAACTCTAATTATTTATCTTCTTGTTGTCAAAGAATGTAGAATATGGACAGTCATCTATGGGTGAACAACAGAAGAAGAAAAAGCAGTCAAACAAGGGAAGACAACTAATGAAGAGGCAAAGAACATTTCCTGATGAAGATGAAGGCGAAGAAGTTCCCAGATCCCCAACTGCAGCAACAATCGGAGAACTACCATTGTCAGCACCACAGTCCAGTCAAATTAGTCAAGCAAGTGAAGCTAGACAATTTATTTTTATGCCAACACCAAAGGTGCATATGCAGCAGTCCAACAACAATGAAGATCCTGATTTTGAGATTCCAGGCTTTGAATTTGAAGAAGACCCAGCTATAAGGCCTAGAAGTGTTTCAGAGGTAAATTCTAGACTCCAACAGAGGCAGAAAGAACTAATATCAAGTGGAAAAAGAATAATTAACTTTGTTGGTGATTCTGCTACATCTAGCAAGCAGTTGGAGAAACAAAAAATGGACAAGCTAAACGCAAGAAAGGGCAATGGAAAAGCACAACAGTGAAGCTGTTTATTTTTGGTGTTACCTGGAAGCTATAATGAATGATGGTGGCAGTAGGATTAGTAAAAGCTTTAGTTTTTGTTCTTAGTTGTTCATGGGGCATTAGGATGTCTTGTTATAATATGGCATCCCTTTGTCTAATGTAATGCACACTTTGATAGTTGGTTTATGTGTTGGTAACAACTTATATGTATCGTTGATCGTACTTGTGTTTGGTTAATATATCTTACTATGCATGGTTCTTGCCTTCTTGGTATGGATTTGGTATTTAGCTAGCATTAGCACCATGCTTTCTTCAACTGGTAATAATGTATAGAAATGGTTGTCTAGCACTAGCTTACAGTTTTTAAGTACCCAGCGTCATTTATGTTGTGTATTCTTTGGCAAAAGTGATCACTGGTTGTTTGAGATTTCCCTTTATGAATTCTATTACTTCTCCATCCATGTAATTGTCAGCGTACCATCCATGTAATTGCTACGTACTGAAATACTATATTTATTTTTATTTCTCCATTTTCAGGTGTAGATGCACTGTTCATATTGTTAAAGGCCTAGTAAAGGTGATAACTAAACCATAGAAACATAACACCATTATAATTAAGTTCACATCATTATATTACATTCACCAGATCCAAAGAACACATTACATTCACTAACATACAAACTAAAATTAAAACAGTTAAACCTACATTAAACACAATGATTTAGTTCATCAACTATTAGACATAGATATTAGCTTCATCAGCCCAGAATTAAGGACACGATAAACATAATACTACAACGATTCACCAACTATTACACATAGATATTGTGAAAAGTCACTTTATCATCGAAGGGGAAATTTACTTCATCATCAATGCCGCAACAAATCCAACAAAAAGAGCCCATGAAATCATAAGAAAAATTCTCATCTTCATCAACTTCTCTTCAAATGTTATAGCTTTGTTCATCTCCAACATGTTAATAGCCTCCAATGCAACATCTTTTTCCTTCAAATTGTCTCGTTCAATCTTAACCGCATCCAACGACAACTTTAAATCTCTTATTACAATTAAAGCTTTATCCGGGTATACTTCGTCTTCCCATTCCCAATAGCCACATGAAATAAACTGTCGACCACAATCCAAACAACTTACTGTTAGTAACATTAAAGGAATACCAAAAATATTAAGTTTAATAAGAGTGAAAATGTAACGACCCGACCGGTTGTTTTGAGCTCTATCGCATTGTTCGGCGGTTTGAGGCCTAGAGTAGCTTCACCTCAGGCATTATGACTTGTACGTGTGGTCGGAATTTAATTTCGGGAAGTTCGGGATTGATTTGGAAAAAAAATTCTAATTTCAGAAGCTTTAAGTTGGAAGTTGGCTAAGAATTGAATTTTGAGTAAACGACCTTAGAATCGGAATTTGAAGGTTCCAACAGGTTCATATGATGATTGTGGTCTTAGGAGCGTGTCCGGATGTTGATTTGGAGGCCCATGGGTCATTTTAGCGTCAATTGGCGAAAGTTAGAAAAGTGGATGATTTTTGGAGAGATTTTCACGCGGGTGATTGGAGTAAGTGATTCTTACCTAGTTTTGGTTAATTTTCACGATTATGTCGTTAATTTCATCATTAAATTAGTGATTTGGGGTTGGGCAATTTGGCAAAAATGGTGGAAGTTCTTAGACTGAAAATTTGGAAATTTAAAGGCGATTTGAGTAATTTTTGGTATGGGTGACCTCGATATCGAATGGGTGTTCATAATTTGTGACTTTTACCCGATTCTAAGACATGGGCTCGGGTTTTTGGGGTGATTTTTTAATTATTTGCTAAAGTCGTAGTTTTATTATTTAAATTAGTTTCTTGTAGTCGTATTATAGTATGAAATTGCTTTTGCAAGATTTGGGCTACTCGGAGTTGGAAAGTCGAAGAAAAGGCATTTTTATCGATTGATTGAGTGAGATTCGAGGTAAGTGACTTGTCTAACCTTGTGTGAGGGAAATCCCCTTAGAATTTGGTACTGTTGTAAGAATTTGTGATATGTGAGCGTCGTGTATGCGAGGTGACGAGTGCGTACACGAGCTAAATGTGGAAATTCCGGTTTTTGCTGAGTAGATTTCTTTTAAATTCCTTAAGTGAGTTGCCTTAGCATGTGTAGCTGTCATGTTTAGCCTAGTATCGCATGTCTGCGTGTCTTTACCTTCACTTGAAATTCGTGCAACATGCTTAGTTGAATTACTTGTTTCCTTAATTATTGCATTTAGTCTTTAACTGTAGGATTCTATCACGACCCAAAATTCAACTAGTCGTGATGGCACCTAACCCAACCCGCTAGGTAAGCCAACTTTCAATTATTCAATTCCAATAACAATTATTAAAGCAATTTAAGTGAATAAAGATCTTAATCTTATACATCCCCCAAGAACTGGTAGTACAAATCATGAGTTTCTAAGAATAGAGTATACAAATGAAAAATAAAATAATTACATAGTCTGTTTGAATAATACATAAGCAGAGATTTATTAATCTAAGACTACCATGAACAAGAGGCAGCTACAACAGGAACACTGGTACATCTTCAAATCCCGTAACCATCGAGCACATCAACAATAACAACCAAGATCTGCACGCAACATGCAGAAGTGTAGTATCAGTACAACCGACCCCATGTACTGAGTAAGTAACAAACCTAGGCTTAGGTCGAAAGTAGTGACGAGGTTGTACCAAGGTTAGAGTCCAACTTCCATAACCAACAATAGTTCATAACAATATTAAACAAGTAATACCAGAAGTAACTCAAAGAATAAATGCTTATCTAAATCATGACTTATGAAAATAGTTCTGCCTTTCAAGTACATAAATGAAAACCCAAAACAGTAATTTTTCCAAAATCCTTTCAATAATAAATAAAATGTCTTATTTTCTTTCTAGATAACCAGTGTAAAACAAATGCATCACTATGCCCATCTGTCAACATGTGTGAGAAATTATGAATAATGTGATACCGTGCAGCATGGCAAAAACACATCTCTATGCATGTATGTCATGTGTGCATGCCAATGCAATGTATCTCAGAGATTGTACTCATGTACTCACACTCTCAGAGTACTAAATCTCACTGTCTTGCATTCTCTCTCACTATGCTCAGCACACTCAATCACTCAGCGCTATATAATACATGTTGCGGCGTGCAGCCCGATCCCTGTTTATATTCAACTACGCTCACTGGAGATGTGTACAGACTCATGAGGGGCTCCTACAGCCCAAGCGCTATAAGCACAGACAACTCACGTGTTGCACGGATAACTCACGTGCTATAATATCATATTTGGATCCGCACGGACAATTCACGTGCTGCACGGACAACTCACGTGCTATAATATTATCTGGATCTGCACGGATAACTCACGTGCTGCACGGACAACTCACGTGCTATAATATTATCTGGATCTGCACGGATAACTCACGTGCTGCACGGCCAACTCACGTGCTGCACGGCCAACTCACGTGCAATAGTATAATATATATAAAGCCAACATGGTCTGCTGCGGCATGCAGCCCGATCCCAAAAATATTCTCACAATCAGGCCCTCGACCTCCTTCAATCATGGATTCGGGTAATTTAACCAATATTGAGTTAAGAATACTTACCCCGTTGTTTCCCTTGAAAAACTCCCGAAAATCGCCTCTTCTCGAGCTCAAATCCGTCAAAAACTGAAAATTCGTCCCATTTTCATAACCTAAACTCTCTGTCCAGACCTCTCTTCTTCGCGAACGCGGGGGACCTGTCGCGAACTTGACTGCCCACAAATTTAACCCTTCGCGAACGCGACCATGGCTTCGCGAACGCGAAACTTTGCAAATCTTACCCTTCACAAATGCAACCACGACTTCGCGAATGCGAAACTTTACCAGCTCAGACCTTCGCGAACGCGAACTCCACCTCGCGAATGCATATAACAAAGACCCGGGGGTCCCCAATAGCCTCACTCCTCTTCGCGAACGCGACACCTCTCATGCGTTCGCGATGCACACAGAGACCATACCTTCGCGTTAGCGTCCTCCCCTTTGCGAATGCGAAGAACAAAACCTCACACTCAGAAAACACTCTTTGCGAACGCGAGGGCCCACTCGCGAACGCGAAAATCAGAAAAATGCAGCAGCAAATATCAATATCTCACCAAGGCCAAAAATGATCCGTTAACCATCCAAAACTCACCCGAGCCCCTTGGTACCTCAAACAAATACACCAACAAGTCCTAAAATATCATACGGACTTAGTCGAACCCTTAAATCACCTCGAACAACGCTAAAACCATTAATTACACTCTAATTCAAGACTAATAAACTTTGAAATTTTTAGTTTCTACAAACGACGCCGGAACCTATCACTTCACGTCTGATTGACCTCAAATTTTGCACACAAGTCATAAATAACATAACCGAGGTATTCAAATTTTCAAAATCAGATTCCGACCCCGATATCAAAAAGTCAACCCCCCGGTCAAGCTTCCCAAAAATTCAACTTTCGGCATTTCAAGCCTAACTACACCATGGACCTCCAAATGATTTTTCGGACACACTCATAAGTCCAAAATCACCATACGGAGCTATTGGAATCATCATAATTAAATTCTGAGGTCGTTTACACAAAGTCGACATCCAGTCACTATTTTAACTTAAGCTTTAAACCTTGGAACTAAGTGTTCCAATTCATTCCAAAACCTCACCGGACCCGAACCAATTACCCCGACAAGTCACACAACAACTATAAAGTATAATTTGAGCATAAAACAGGGAACCGGGGTTGTAATACTCAAAATGACCGCCCGAGTCATTATAGATTCCTTGTTGTGAATTCGTTATTCCATAATTTATGAGTTGCATATTTACTTTTAGGATTACGAGGTAGTACCTCGGGAGATCCCCTTGTCATGTATTTACTTTTAGGACTACGAGGCGGTACCTTGGGAGATCCCTGTAGCGAATGTACTTTAGGGACTACGAGGTGGTACCTCGGGAGATCCCCTATTGCATATTTACTTTTGGGACTATGAGGCGGTACCTCGGGAGATCCTCTATTGCGTATTTACTTTTTGGAATACGAGGCGGTACCTTGGGAGACCCCCCGTTATGTATTTATATTTGGGACTATGAGGTGATACCTCGGGAGTGCTCATATTGTTTACCTCTATTTGATGTGCTGTTACCTTTCTGTAATTTCTCGTTGTTAATTTCTTTGTCATTTCATGGTATTATTATATTTTCT